CACCGGTGGCATAGCCCTCAGAATCACAGCAACTCAAACCACCACAGCACGACAGACAGATGAGTGGTAGCCGTTTGGTTTTATGTCTATACTGTCTCTTTAAATTTCGATGTCAATCTTGACATAATCCTGATATAATCAAGATACAATCAAGATGTTCTCTCCTAATCCTCTCAATCCTGGTACAATCAAGATAAGCTCTCCCATGATGGCGGCTCCTGGAACAGCTGAGTGTCTTGATCCAGAAAATAATGGATTTCTGGATTCTCCTGCAAATTCCCCAGCTATAAACCCTCTGAACTTCCAAACATACCTTTATATTTGTTACAGAGTTCCAACACCAACTCATGAGTCCTCCTGACCCAGTATTCCGTGTTGTTGTTGACTGAGCTCCTCACTACAGCTAATAAGGGATGGAATTAGGATCTGGTCATCTGACACCAAAGTCTAAAATATTATAGTACTGATATTGATTCCTCTTGGGAGAGTTACTAATGATTTCACATGTTTGGTTAGTATGGCTCTACCAGTTCCTGCCAATTCTTGCCCTATATGTTAAATTTTAGCACAGAATATTGCTGATTAGAAGTGACTCATCAGTGTAAGGTCTTGCACGCACTAGAGTTGGCAATGTTCATAAAGTGTATTCTAAGATAATAAAGCAAAACAAAAAACCCATTGCCTTTGAGTCTATTCTGATTCATAGCAACGCTATAGCACAGAGTGGAGCTGCCATAGGATTTCCAGGGCCATGTAGCCTCTGACCCTACACAGGGTTGCTATGAGTTAGAGCCAATGTCTCCCCGACACTTAACAACAACTCTTCCTCACTTATTGACATGGTTAAAGTCCAAAGATCAGGTTGTTAGGTTACGAACAAAATGTGTCATTATATAACTGCCAAATCATATCATTACATAACTGCTAAAACATATTGTTACATAACTTCCAAACCACAGAGAATTATGCCCCAGCCAAGTTACCCCATCATAACTAGCGTCTCTCTCACCCCATACTTCAACCTTTGGTATCTGTTACTGCCAGACTTAGGTCGTTAATATACAGAACAGTTGGATAAAAGATACTCAAATAGCAAAATGTTAGATAGGGAGGGAGTTGATAAGTGAGGAGTAGGTTTCTCATAAAGGAGCTCTGGTAGCATAGTTACGAATTGCGCTGCTAACCTCAGGGTCAACAGTTTGAAACCACCAGCTGTTTGGCGGGAGAAAGATGAGGCTTTCTGCTCTCATAAAGATTTACAGCCTCGGAAACCCTGTACAGGGTCTCTATGAGTCGGAACCGACTCCACAGAACATAACAACAACAACAACAGGTTTCTTATAAAGAGCTCTGGTGGTGTAGTGTTTACTAGTTGGGCTGCTAGCCTCAAGGTCAGCAGTTCCAAACTACGTGCTGTTCCACAGGAGAAAGATGAGGCTTTCTACTCCTGCAATGATTTACAGCCTCAGAAACCCTACATAGGGTTACTATGAGTCCAAACCAACTCTATTGTACACAACCACCAGGTGTCTTATATAATTATGACTTTAAGATGTTGATCTATTATCCTTTAGAATTGCTGCCCTTAGATTCCGTCCATACAAAAACTTACAAGTCTTAAGTCAGTAGGTCCTACTGGCTAAGGTTAAGTTTTAGGAACCTTATGTGAACCTGAATCAATGCCAGTAAAGAAACAACACATTTTTGGAGGAAAGATGAGAGAATAAGTGTGAAGCAATTTCTTGCGAAATACAATTTCTTAACATTGCCCTGTGCTTTTTACTCTTTTGGAACTTCTCTGAGGTAGTTCCCATGCATTCACTGGGGTGGACTGCATATTTTTGTGTGTCCTGGAAACTCCATCCTCTTTTCCCACCAAAAAAAAAAAGGAAAGAAATGATATATTTCTTTAAATAAAAAAGTAAAATAAAAATCGCTATTATTCAGGGATCTCTGGTGGCACAGTGGGTTAAGCGTTGGGCTGCTTACTAAAAGGTTGAGCTCACCAGCAGCTCAGAGGGAGAAAGTTGAGGTTATCTGCTCTTGGTAAAGACTTACAGTCCTTGGATAACCTAGGGGCAGTTCTATTCTGTCCTTTAGGGTCGTTAGGAGTCAGAATCGAGATCAGTGGTTTTGGTGTGTCGTTTTATCATTCTTTCAGGCCCAGTTAAACAAGGACTCCCTTCCCAGAAGTAATTGCTCAGTGTGCTGTGTCCCTATACATGTTTTCATTCATATTACCGTTCTTATTCCATTGTGTATTATAGTAATTTTACTCCATCGAGTTGTTTGATGTGGGAAATATCAGGAACGCTGCGTTGTTTAATGCTCAGAGCCAAAAGGAGGCCTGGGATTAGAAGGTCCGCAATAAGGGAGTGTATCTGAACGATTGCGGGCTATAGGGCAGGAATAAAAATAGGAGACTGCAGCCATATGTCTAGATAACCTTATGGGAACAATAACAGCACACTGAACAACCACAGGCAAGTGCTCAATCAAGTGGTGAAAATAAAACCGTGGAAAGGCTCCGCGCTCACTTTACTACAATCGTCCCATTCACAGGGGCTTCTCCAATCCCACTCTCTCTTTAAAGCCGGCTCAGTTCTAGGGACCAATCGGAGCGCAGATTTCTGCAGTCGCGAGGATCGGTACAGCCAATGAGAGATGTGGGAGGTTTGGTGGTGTGAGACGCACCGCCCACTGACCGAATCCTGGCGGGCGTAGGGACGTGATTGGGCGGGGCTGAAGCTTGATTGGCAGGTGAACGATCTGCCACTTTAGAACGGTCTGCAACGCGTGGAGGGGCGGTAGGCAGGGCAGGGGAAATGATAGGAGTGGGCACTGGGTTCTGTTCAGGAGTCAGCCAATGGCTGACAGGTTACCCACAGAGGGTAGGGTAGACCACCAATGGCAGCACGGAAATGGCGCTGTGGGCGGGATTAGTGCCACAGCGGTGTAGGAGCAGCGCCTATTAGTGTCGTCCTCGTCGTCACGGCCGGCGCCCCTCCTGGATTCATTCATTCGTTTTTTTTTCATTCACGGAGGTAGTGAGGCCTAGTCGAGAACCATGGAGAACACTGCCCCGGCTGCCGGCTTCCTGTACTGGGTGGGCGCTGGCACCGTGGCCTATCTGGCCCTACGCATCACCTATTCTGTCTTCACGGCCTTTCGGGTCTGGGGTGTGAGTCACGAGACCGGGGTCGGACCCGGGCTCGGTGAATGGGCAGGTGAGTCGGATCCAGTACCGCGTTGTCTCTCCGGCTGCCGCTCTCGCGGTTCGGGGCCCGGCCTGGCTCCCACTGACCATCCCCGGGCCCTGCGCTCGCCCTGCCCCGCTCAGCGCCCCTCTCCTTCCTGAGGCTCGTGTTTAGCCTTCGTTTGGCTGGTTTGGATGTGTGGAGTGAGTGTTTTACAATAACGAAGCGAGGCGAAATTGTGCTGGCACCAAAAGTGCCACTATGCGTGTGGGACTTCGGGCCTTTACTCACTGGGACTTGAGTCCTTTAAGTCAAATCGGGTAGGTGGTCCCGAGTCTGTCAGTGATCTGATTTCTCATTCATCCTCTACCCAGCTTGATTCGCTCCTTGTAAACGTTTTATAAAACAAAGTTTTCGCTTACTTGGAATACTGGTGGGGTGATGAGAATGAAAAACATTCTTTCGTGTGGTGGGGGATGAGAATAGGGAAAGAGGTGTAGGGACGACATTTCATAAGTCCGCTCTTTGGAACCATAACTCTCCACTTCCTTGGATTCGGCCAATTTCATGAAATGTACAAAGCTCCCTTTAAAACATCCTCGTTAAACTATTCTAGAAGCAAGCAAGAATATCTGCTTCTGCAAAAACGGGCAACCCTTTTACATTAAAGTTAGAAATAGATCTGGCAGAAGGTTCATTTGTTGAAAAAAGCATTAACAAATTGATCTTGTTCTATTCAGTCGGAGGGTTTCAAAGATGGAAGACAGGTCAATTTGTAGAACTTGAAAAATTCTACAAATTGTACAAATTGTTTTCTTCAGGAAACTTTTGCGCTGGCTTTTTTGTTTTGTTTTGTTTTGTTTTGACTTCTTTGTTGTAGTTTTTTAACCAAGTGATTGCTTATTATTTGCTGTGATCATTCTTTTTACTGAACTTTGGGATGGTTGAGGGTTGTGTTCAGAGCAGGCTTTAAGTAAAATACAAGATTTAACGTTATTCTGTGTTCTTTACTGTGTTCATTCTTTCCGACACTAACATATATTAAGAGAAAGCATGTCAAGTCGAAATGGATTTGTGTGTCAGCATTCTGTGCGTGATACGAGGCAATTCATTATTAGCATTATCACCTGTTCACAATCATTTGCTATCTTTTGATACTCTTCGAAAAAGAAAGTGATGTGTTCCACTTGATTGTGATCTAATTTCACAGTTGACTTGCTCAAATTTTTGATTGCCAACTCTTAGTTGGAAACTTGTTAGTGGACTTTTGTAATAGTGACACAAAACAGTAATGTTTGAGGCAATCTTAGCTAAGTGGAATTTCGCAGTTTGCAAGCAAAGACGCTAATGTTAATAACTTTAAGAAATAACTTGAATGTACTTGTTAAGTCAAATAAGTCTTAGTCTGTATATATTAATTCACCAAAAAAGCCAAGTGATAAGACATTACCATTTCTTAAGTAGGATTTGTATTGCAAAGATTTGGCCTCAGAGGAAGGACATTTGATAAATCAAGGACATGTTATATAAGAATTAGGAATGGATTTTCAACACTTGGATAAGAGAAAAAGTCATCATGTCATAATAATTACCAAGTTTAATTAATACAGGACTGTCTTTTTTTAAAAAAAGAGAAATCTTTTTTTAAGTGCCGAGCAGAAGAAGTGATCAGATTGTTAGTGGTTTGTATTTCTCACATTTTGTGACCTGGGTCTTAAAAGAAAATCCTTTGCCTCTGGATTCAGAGAATCTTTGAAAAACAAAGAAGATGAAAGAGAAGCTCATATTAAACCGGTTCTCTGTCAGTTGGAGGAATGAACTAAATAAATTGACAAACTAGCAGAGATGACACTTGAATAATTAGGGCTGGTATGGTTAAAAATAGGAAGATCACTTGTTGAACCAAGGTTATGAAATGAGAATTAATTGTTTTCCATATTGTTGTTAACAACAACACCAGGACACTACTAACTAATAAGATCCCCCTCTTCAAAATTGCTGTCTTAATCTTAAGCATGTTCTGTGTGTGTTGGTGTGCAACCCTGACTGAGTAAATGCTGCTAGGAAGAGGAAAGAAGCCGTAGGAGGGAAGCATGGAGCCCTGGAAGGATAGCAGATTACAAATGGGCTGTGAACTGTAAGACCAATACTTCAGTCCACCAGCCACTCCCTGGGAGAATGGTGAGGCTTTCTGCTCTGGTAAAGACTTAACAGCCTCGAACACGCTATGAGTCACAAGGCACACAATCACCACCAAGATTTCGTTTAGTGTCTTCCTCTCTCTGGTAGCGTAGTGGTTACGAGTCGGGCTGCGACCCTTAAGGCCAGCAGTTTGAAACTACCGGCTGTTCCGCGGGAGAAAGATGAGGCGTTCTCCTCCTGTAAAGATTTACAGCCTTGGAAACCCTGTACAGGGTCACTATGGGTCGGAAACGACTCGATGGCACTTAACAACAACAATATGTGTTGAATTGGTAGTGTTTTTTTTTTTTTTTCATTCCGGTTACTCTTAAGTCTTTACATGTGAATATAGTTCTGGGATGTCTTCTGTTCGGGTTTTAGGATTTCAGAGGTAGAGGACTACAGTGCCTCATTCCCCCATCCCCTCACCCCCGCCCCTTATTAACAGGCATAGCCCATGTAAACTTAAAAACAGAACTTTGCCAGAAACTTGAAATAAAGTTTCAATTGGTAAAAATATTCTAGACCCTTTTCCTTGGCCCATACTAACTTCGTTTAGCACCTTATCAAGAGCGAGGTCATCTCTTCTCTAGTTTATTCCTTTAACGTTCCCATGGCAGTGAATCCTGTTACTACTTATCCCTGGGTCGCAGGTGGATTTAGCCAATAGCAGCGAAGACAGTTTCATTGCCTGGCATGGTTCTCGTGTACTTGTGGAGCTTCGTCTAGTTGAAGGTCAGTGAAGCCAATAAGCTAGGTAAGGTGGCTAACAAAGATGGTCATTGTATTCTAAGTAAAGGAAAGAACGGTTGCTGTGTGAAAGTAAGCTGCAGAATTTTGTTTGAGCGTAGATAAAATTTGCATTGTCTTGAGTTTTTAATAACTGGCGTTTATAGTAAGAAGCTTCTGCTGGAATCAAGTGGAGATGATAGATACAAAGGCCAGCTAAGCATCCTTCCAGAGTCAAGATATTTTATAACTTTGAACACAAAACAGCATTCTGAGCACTTATTTTTCGTTTTAATGGGAGAGGATATTGGTCCAGGCAGCAAAAAATTAAGGACCCACCAATTGATGAGTAAGTTACATTTTTATTAACAGCTTTGTGGAGGTTTAATTCACATACCGTATAATGCACCTATTTAAAGTGTACAATTCAAGAATTTTATTATATTCCTGGGGTAATGTAGCCATCATTACAAACTCATTTTAGAACATTTCCATCCTCTTTGAGAGAAACCTGCTACCCATTAGCAGTTACTGTCCCTCTCCCAGTGCCAACCCTAGGAAACCAATAACTCTTTCTAGACTCCATAGCTATACCTGTGCTGGATATTTCATCTAAATGGAATCAGACAATCTGGTCTTTTGCCACTAGCTTCTTTCCCTTAGCATAGTATTGTCAAGGTTTATCCAAGTTGTATCGTATGTTAGCACTTCGTTTCTTTTTATTGCTAAATAATATTCCATTGTATAGAGTGAGTTTAGAGTCTGCATTTACTCTCTGCACATCTACATTTGCAAATCCCTGAGATTTTGCAGGTCTGGGTACTGATGAGACTCTTTTAGGCTTTGTAGTATTGCAAGGTTCCCCTAATCGGTAGGCAGTGAGGACCTGAAAAGGAAGAGGAGTGGTGGTGTTTCTTCTGTTGTTGTTGTTGTTGTAAAGTTGTTGTTGTTAAGTGCCATCTTGGTTTAATTACCTCAGTGGTTGACCAAGGTCAGCTGACAGCTGTAATGTGGTTGTCAGGTGTCATGGAGTCGGTTCCAATTCATAGCAACAACAGAACAAATCACTGCCTGGTACTACTCCATCCTCACAGTTGTTACATTTGAGCCCATCTTGTTGAGGGTCTTCCTCTTTTTCGCTGACCTTCCCCTTTGCTAGGCATGATGTTCTTCTCCAGTAGCTTGTCCTTTTTGACAACAGGTACAAAGTATAAGAGACAAAGTCTTGCCATCCTTGCTTTTAAGGAGCATTTTGGCTGCACTTCTTCCAAGACAGATGGCAGTCCATGGTACTTTCAACATTCTTCACCAGCATCGTAATTCAAATGCATCAATTCTTCTAAGGTCTTCCATATTCACTGTCCAAATTTCATGCACATATGGCTAAACTTCATCTCTCATACTTTGGACATAATTGTCAGGAGGGAACAGTCGCTAGAGAAGGATGTCATGCTAGGTAAGATGGAGGGTCAGAGAAAGAGAGGAAGACCCCCAACAAGATGGATCAGCCAGGTGGCATCATTGATGGCGTCAAGTGTGGCAGCGGTAGTGAGGTTGGCCCAGGATCGGACATTGTTTCATTCTGCTGTGCATGGGGTCGCTATGAGTCAGTTCCAACTCGATGGCACCTTACAACAACAACAACATGAAGCCATTGAAAATACCATGACTTGGGTCAGGGGCACCTTAGTCCTCAAAGTGGCACTTTAAAGTGGTCCATCTCTTCTTCGTAGTCTGGAAGCTCAGTTGAAACCTGTCCACCATGGGTGAATCTGCTGGTATTTAAAATACTGATGAGATAGCTTCTAGCATCACTGCAACACACAAGTCACTACAGTATGGTAAACTGGCAGACAAGTGGTGGTCTGCTGGCCGTAGCTATTTCAACTCTGAGGTCTCACATGATTTGAAAGATTATAGATGAAATGTTAATTATTTGAATTGGAAAGCCCAGAAGAAAAATTAATAGCTACCGTCTCTTGAATGCATGCAGTGTGTTAGGCGCTTGATATAGGTTATTGTTAATCTCTCTTTGAGCTGTGCTTCTATCTTCAGTGTATATGTAAGGAAATCGAGTTTTAGGGAGATTGTATCACTTGTCTTGATTTCATAGCTAGTCA